TTCCTCGTTCGGTACGTCTTCTACATATTGACGGACCTTGACTTCACCCGTTTGCCAATTGATAATTGGGTTGTGATCATGAAGCCACGTATTGCTGATGATCACGTCTTCTTTTCCTAAGTCGATGACAAGGAAGTCATCGTTCCATTCGTACGTTCCTGCACGAACCGTTCCTTTGAATCGTTGATTCGTAGAGTTGATGGGACTTCCATCGACACTGCGAATCTTGACTTCCTTCTGCGATTTGAGAAGATGGAGTCCTGCCTTTTTCGCAAACGATTCATTGATGAACATTCCTTTTGCTCCGGAATCGACTAAGGCTCTTGCTGGAATACTTCGGGTTCTTGTACCATCGTAATCTTGGAAGACGATATTGAGGTATATTTCACTCCCTCGTTTGATATCGCCTCTTATGATTACTTCCTCGGGGACCGTTTCTTCATCTGGATGCCACGAGATCCCAACGCGCACCCAATTCCAAAACCCTCTGGATCGTCTTTCTCCATGGGTGGTGGATATCGGCGTGCATATTCATATCTATCTGGATTATCTCCAAATTCCAGAAGATCATCGAGATGGGGCATTGTCATATTGCGTTTCCTAATACGGTCTCCTCGCATTTTGAGTGCATCTTCCCGTCGTATTCTGGCGAGTTCTTCCTTGGGGATGAATCTCCGGACTACATACTCTTCTTCTGAGTCACTAGATTCATCCTTGGTTCGCCGAATTTTGCGAACTGTTTTGGTTTTGACAGGGCGAGTTCTTCGTACCCTATGAACAACCGTTTCTTGTTCGGATACTTCTTCAGATTCTGATGATTCAGATTCTGATTCTTCCGATGATGAGGATTCTGATTCTTCCTGCTCCGACTCCTCCGAATTATCCTCAGAGTCGCTTTCTTCAACTCTCTTTACTCGTCGGCGTTTCTTCTCCGTTCCCTTGGAGTAAGATTTAGTCGGCTTGGAAGTCTTTCTTCGTCTGCCAGATCCGGAGTATTTCTTCGTCCTGGAATTGGACGTCTGGGTCTTGGCATATGAAGTTGTCTTTCCTGAGCGATTTGGTGCCGGATCATATTCTGCATTTGGACATTGTGCAGCGACATGTCCTGGCTTTCCGCAGTTGTAGCAGAGTCCATCCACAGAACGTTTCTTATGGGTTTCTGGGGAGATCCGGTCAACGTCCATTGCGTCAGGGTCCTTCTCCGTCCTTCTTCCACTTCCTGAAGAGCCTGAGATGAACTTGAAGATATTTGTCTTTCCGCTATGAATGTCCTGGAGGTCTGTGACCTTTCTTGCGGCTTTGCATGCTGCTGCATAGGTTGTCGGCGGATTTTCCGTGATGAAGACTTTCTCTGCAAGTTTCTCATTGAGGCCTCGCTTGAAGTGGATGAGCTTGGCGTATTCGTCGTCGATTTCGGCATATCGGTAGAGGATATCGAGATTTCCGATATACTCGTCGACGGTTTGCTTGTCCTGCTTGTGTTTTCCTTCGAGAAGTACTTGCCAGGCTTGGTCCTTGGTTGCGACACCTCCATACTTTTCGGTAAGCGTCGTCTTGAAATCTTGGTACGTTCCAAGATTGCTGTGTTTTGCCATTTGGTTGGCTTCCCATGACTCGGCCCACTTTCCTGCTGTGGATGAGGAGTCGATTTGGGAGAGAACGAAGGCAATTTTGCTGAAATCATCATTGTAGACTCCCGCATTTGCCTGTAGGTATCGTTCCACATTTCGGAGGAACGATGCATATTCTCGCTTGTCTCCCCTAAACTCCTTGATTTTTCCCATCTTCTTTTCTCGTGCCACTGGCGGCTTGGGGATTGTTCCCTGATATTGCGCATAGAGTGCCAAGGCTTGTTGGTACTCGTTCCAGACAGCATCGGTACAAGTTCCGGGATGGACTGGTGGTCCGAGAGCCGGGTCATATCGTGCGTGTGTGGCCATACTTCCTGAGAACTGGAAGCTACCGGTTGGTCTTGATCCGGTTGAAACCGAACGTGTGATTCCAGGTGCGTCGGGTAGATGGGGTGGCTGGTCCCTTCTGAGATGTGTGATTCCTGGATAATCTGGTCGAGTAGTGCTGTCCGAGATAGATCTCTCGAGCGGGACTGCTCTTGTTCCGAGAGGATTAACTGGCGGTAATCCACCGGTTTCCTGTGAACGCCCTTCCTGTCGTTCAACTTG